AATATTTTGAAAAAAGTTTTATAATAAAGTTTATAAAATATGTTTTTAAGAATATATTTTATAAGCAAAGTATACTCCATATTATTAATAAATTATTATTTTATTTAAAAATACTAAATACAATTTAATTTTCTAGACAAATGTGCTTAAAATACAGTTTAAGAAATATTAATAATTATATTATTTTTTTAATACTATTGAAATAATGATTCATGCTTAATTGCCTATTCTTGTCATAATCAAACATATTGCTAAAACCAAATTGCTTTAGAAAAATATAGTAAATTACATCTTTTGACATGTTGGTAATATTTAAAATATCTGTCTACAATAGAGATTCATTAGTAAATAATTTAAAATTTTACTTACTATAGATTATTATTTTATGACAACATATTTTATTACTATTCAAAATGTAATATATTTAAATTAATCAATAATGTATAGTTTTTAGAACTATCTTTAATATTTATGCATCTAATAAAATATATATTTCTTATATAGCATTTTGCTATATTTACTTTATTTGTTGTTATTATTCATATACTTTTCTATCTTTTAAATATATATAAAACCTTTTTAAAATAGTTAAATTACTGAATGATGCAATACAAAAAGATTATATAGAACCTATATATTATAATGATCTTTACTATAAAAATATGACAAGTCCCATATAGCATAGTAGCATTGTTATCATTTCTAAGACATATAAGCAATTATAGATACCAAAAATAATAAGTAATATAAAATATGACTAATGTATACAAAAAGAGATAAATTAATGTTTATTTAATAGCATGTTAAAAATTTAATCAATATATTATTGCATGCCTTAAAATTCTTTAAAGATATCTCAAGCTTTTATATTATTATCCTAGTTCAAATTGCTTTTAAATTTCCAATAACTATTTTAATAAAATTATAATCCATAGTATTAAATTCACTATGTTGTATTGAATAAAATAATTTAAATTTATTCTCTTTATTATATAGATAAAGGGTCTAAAAATTATATAGAAAAGATTAGCTACATTAATATTTTTAAATTTATATTAACTATACCTAATCAATAAAAATTCATATCTTTTGTTTACTTTTTTTTTAACATAATAGGTCACATTTTCATTAACTTTAGTCTAATCAACTTTTGTAAAAATCATTATAATCTGCAATTGTTTTCAGATGAGTTGATTTGTTAAATGATAAAACTTGTGCCTATATATTAAATATTGGGATATGATTTTCTTAAAATATTTTATAATATTAAACTTGTATTTTTTTGACTAACAAATATAGTGCCTTAATTTTGTCAGTTTTATAATAATTGATATATAATAATATAAGTTGAATCAAAATTATGATTAGAATTATATATTTAACTCTAAATTATTACAAATATTACATATCTTTTTTTTTAAAAAAAATAAAGTTTTAATGTCCAAAGTATGAAAGAACATTTTCTTGTAGAGCTTTATGTCAAAACCATATAAGAGTTTATAATAATACTATTAAAAATCTTCTATATAAAATAGCTAAAAAAAGAGAAAGAAACCAAAGAATTTAAATAGAACAAAGATACTAGCAAAATGAAGACCAGCTAATAGAAATAGAAAATGAACAACTTGATGAAATAAGAATAGATAGCCAACTTGAAGATAATAAAGGTAATAAAGATAATGATGATAATAAAAACAATGAAGATGATAAAGATAATGAAGATAATAAAGGTGATAAAGATGGTGAAGATGACAAAAGTGTTAGAGATGATAATGAAACAAGAATAGATAATCAGCTTGGTAACAAAGATAAATATAATTACTGAATAAAAAACCAATAAGAAAACCAGCTTGAAGATTAATCAGAAGTAAAATAGAAGAATTGAGTAATCAAATTATAGTAAATATATTAGGAACAATAAATTGTTTATATAATCTCCAATATATAACATAAATTTTATTTGAATTAACTTTAATTTATCAATATATGTATACATATATATATAAATTTAGAAAGAATTTGCATTACTTAATGTAGAGTTATCTTTAATTTTTAAGTTTCTTGATATCACCAACTTGATAAATAAAGAACTAAGTTTTTCCAATAAGGAATTTGGTAATTTTATAAAGTTATTTGTAAAATAGAACTTATTGGATACATGTGATATAACAATATTATAATTTTTCTGTAATTTTTTTAGTTTCATTATTTTTCTAAGTCTTTTCTTAATTACATGCTAATTAATATAATTAATTTAGTTATATTTAGTTTATTAGTTTATCAAATATAATTAGAATTAATTTAGCAAATGTAACATAAATAGGTAAGTATCATTATAACTTATTTATTTTGCCCTATAGTACAATTTTGCTTATCAATGATGTAATTAACATGTGTATTAATAATTAATTTTGATTTGTAATAATTTATATTTATTTTCTATTTTTATCTTTATTTATTATTAATTATATATCAGAATCTTTCAGATAGATTAGTAAGCCTTATGAGTAAACTAAGCTTCTATTTTTAATATATTTTTATTCTTAAATTTATATACTTTTAAAAATTATTTAAATCTGCCAAAATTTTTTAATAAAGTTTTAAGTATTTTTATTAGCAAAATTATATACAAAGTATTTTAAAAAACAAAATCTTTACAACTTGGTAGTAGTAGAAAGCTTTTCACTACACTACACATACTTTATTTTTTATACTACAATATATTTTTCTTTTGTTTTTTTTTTATATTTTGTTAGCTTTTTTCTTATAATTTTTCTAAACAAAATGGCTACTTTACAAGACTTAGTAAATGCTATTGGATAATTTGTTATTACACAAACTGCTTTAACACAACAACTTGGTCAAGTCCAATAACCTCAAGCATAACAACAAGGTGAAAATAACTCTGCATCTACAAAAATTGGTATAAAAATTTCTATATTCAAAAAAAAACCTACTGAAAATATAGTAGCTTGGTTATTACAAATACAAACAATTTTTTTGGTTCAAGAACTTATAGACAAACCAACCCAGGTTCACTATGCTACTACAGGTCTCAAAAATGCTGCCTTACATTGGTATTTGAATAGAATTGTCTCAAACAACAACCAACCTCCTTTTACTGATTGGGATAAGTTTGCAAATGCAATTAAAGATGCTTTTCAATCTCCTAATTATTAACAGTATCTCTGTTAACAACTTAAAAAATTTAAATAAACTGAAAATGTAAAAGATTATACTACACAATTTCAAAACATTATAGGTCAAATTACTGATATAAGTGTCTTAAACCAAGTATCTTACTATATTGATAGATTAAAATCTGCAACAAGGATGAAAGTTGCATATAGAACACTTAACACTTTAACAGCTACTATTGAATATGTAATAAGGTATGATACTACTATGTTTAAATTAGAAAAACCTTCTGGAAGTCAAGAAAAATACTTCAAGCCTACTCTGTCTAACTATATAAGTAACGAAAGTAATGGTTCTGTATCTATAGAACTTGATTCTTCTGAAACTTATAAAAAAAATTTAACAATAATTCAAAAAAGGAATTTAAAAAAAAGCTTGTTACAAGTATAAATTAACAAAACATTATGTCAGAGAATGTAAAAAGAATGATAAAGCTAAGGTTGCTATCATGGAAGAGGAACTTGTAATATTTTTCTCAAAAATTAAGAAAATAGAAGTTACAAATATTAAGAAAAATAAGAAATGTTTAATTCATTTTAAGAGAAAAATTAATGGATATTCTGCAAAAATTTTGTTAAATAGTGATGCTTTTCGAAACTTTATTGATATAAAGTTTGTTGAACAAAACAATATTACAACTACAAACATTAAACCTATTGTGATAGAACTTGTTAATAGAAAAAAAACTGAAACCAAACCAATTTTAAATGTTAAAAAGTTGGAATTAGGAACCTATTACACTTCTGGAATTCAAGTTCAAGTTATTACTCTACAACAATATGATGCTATTTTTGAAAAACCTCAGTTATATTATGCTAACCCTACTATTGATTAGAGAACCAACACATTACTTTTCAATATAGCTCTAAAACTATTGTTGTTAAGTCTAATAACTTAAGTTCTACTTTTTCTAATGCTAACTGCAACTCTATTTATATTTTTTGTTAACAACTTGCTAAAGCTTCTACTAATGCTAAACTATTTGCAATATATTTGGATATTATAAATAATAAGAAAAAGAAGTTTAAATCTAAAGTTCAAAAATTAATTACTTAGTACAAAAATGTGTTTCCTAAAACTTTACCTAACCATCTACCTTCAAAATAAAGTCTAATCATGCTATTAAATTAACACCTAGTGCTGAACCTTTATATAGACCAAGTTATAGGTTATCCTATAATGAAACTAATGAGCTTAAAAGACAACTTAACAATTTGTTACAAAAAGTCTATATCTGTCTAAGCACTTTTCCTTTTGGTGCTTCTGTACTTTTTGTTTACAAAAAGAATAGAACTTTAAGGTTGTGTATTAATTATAGAACCTTAAACAAAATTACTATTAAAAAATCACTATCCTTTATCATGCATTAAAGACCTTATGAATAGACTTGTAGAAGCAAATTATTTTTCAAAAATTGATCTCTATTTTGATTATTACCAAATTCAAATTAAGAAAGAGGATATTTCTAAATTGCTTTTTGTACTCATTATAAACATTATGAATTCTTAGTTTTATCTTTTGGTTTAACCAATGTCTTTGCTACCTTCATAACTCTTATGAATAATATCTTTAGAGAATTTTTGAATCAATTTGTTATTATATATTTGGATAATATTCTTGTTTATAGTAAAACCAAATATAAACAATTTGATCATATGAAACAACTTTGGAAACTTTAAGAAAACATTATCTGTTTGCTAAAATTAACAAATATGAATTATTTAAACAAAAAGTTAAATACTTGGGATATTACATTTCTGCTAAAGGAATTTTTGTTAATACTCACAAAATTGATACTATAAAAAATTGGCCTATTTCTTTTAACATCTCTAAACTTCAATCTTTTTTTAGACTTGCAAATTATTATCAAAAATTTGTTAAAAGATTTACTATTATTGCTACATCTCTTACTAAATTTCTATACAAGAACCAAGATTATTTGTAAAATAAGGAACAACAAAAAGCTTTTAACTAACTTAAATTACATCTTATCTCTACATCTATTTTATTTCTTTTTGACCTAACTAAACCTTTTACAATAATCACAAATGCATCTAACTTTGCTATTGAAGCTGTTCTTAGTCAAAATCAAGAAAAGAATGAACAACCTGTTACTTATAAATTTTACAAACTTTCTTTTGCTAAACAAAATATACTGTTTATAAAAAAGAATTATTAGCTATTGTTTATGCTATTAAACTTTGGCATATTTATCTTAAAGATCAAAAGTTTACTGTAATTACTGATTATTCTTTTTTGGAATATATTAAGTTTTAAAACAATCTTTCATGAAGGCAAGCTTACTGGCTTGAAATTTTACAATCCTGTATCTTTAATATTAAATATAGGCATAAAAAAACAAATGTTGTAGCTGATGCTTTATCTCAACAACCTCAATTGGCCAATCTTTCTGTTATTTCTCTTTATCTTATAAATTTTAAGAAAAAATATCTTAAGAATAATTATTTTGCTTCTATTTACAAAACTTTGAAAAATTTTGATTTAAGTGACAAAAAACAACAAGCTTGTGTTTGATATTATAAATTAAAAGACAATAGACTTTATTAAAAAAGAATCAATATCTAGCTATTCCTATAGATAAGAAATTAAGAACTAAATTATTAGAGGAATATTATAATATTAAAATAGCAGGATATCTTGGAATCGATAAAACTTATAAAGCAATTTAACATGATTATTTCTGGCCAAAAATAAGTAAAGATATTAAGAAATTTGTTTTAACTTGTGACTTCTGTTAATGTAATAAAAGTAATAATCAACAACCAGCTAGTTTACTTGAAACATTAACAACTTCAACAACAAAATAAGAACAAATTACTATAAACTTTATTGTTTAGTTATCTGCTATACAATTAGAACATGATGCTATTGTAGTTTTTGTTGATAGGTTAACTAAAAAAGCTTATTTTCAACTTTATATACTACCATTACTGTACCTGAAGTTGCTAAACTTTTCTTCTCAACTATTTTTAAAAACTATAAATTACCTAAAGTTATAATCTCTGACTAAGATGCTAAATTTACAAGTAACTTTTAAAAATTATATTTTAATTATATTGAAACTAAATTAGCAGTGTTTACAGCTTTTTATTCTCAAACTGATAGCCAAACTGAAAGAATAAATCATACTTTGAAGGAAATGCTTAAAGCATATTTAATATACAAACAGGATACTTGGGATAAATATTTACTTGCAGCTGAATTTGCTTACAACAATTCTAAACAAGCATTTACTAGATTTACTCTATTTGAATTGGATTATAGACAACATTCTAACACTTCTGCTTCACTTGCAACCAACAAACTTAATCAAGTATCTGCTGCTAAGAATTTTATTAATCATTAGAATAATATGATTAAAATTGCTAAAAATACTTTAAGAATAGTTCAGAAAAGACAAACAAAATATGCAAATTAACATCATCATAAATTAAACTTTAATATTGGTAATAAGGTTATGTTACTAGCCTATAATATTAACAATCCTATTGACAAATACAGATCTACTTGTAAATTAGCTCCAAAATATTTAGAATCTTATACTATTTTTGCAAAAATTTTATTAACAAGTTATCAATTGGACTTATTTTCTATTTTGAAAATTCA